ACACCACACCAAGGTTTGTGATCCCCTTACCGGTCACATAAAAAAAATAATAATAAAATAAATTTAAAAAAAAAAAAAAAAAGGGCCGGACCGTGGCTCACTCGGGAGAGTGTGGTGCTGATAATACCAAGGCCCTGGGTTCGGATCCTATGTAGGGATGGCTGGTTGGCTCACTGGCTGAGCATGGTGCTGACAACACCAAGTCAAGGGTTAAGATCCCCTTACCGGTCATCTTAAAAAAAAAAAAGAAAAGAAAATGAAAAAAATTGCTTTTTGGTCTTCTCATGTCAAGTGAAAGCTTGGGTTTGGAAGACATGCTTTAGGACCTCTCTAACACTTGTTAATTTCTCTTTTTAAGAAAGTGAGGGCAGGTCTCAGCCTCGGCACATTTGACAATGACATTATTTTGGTAGAATTTAATAATATATTTCATTTTATAGTTGCTTTCTGTTGGCAAGTGATCCTAATTTTAAGTTTACTATAGAAGTATGAAGTTTGACTTATATCCTTCATTTGAGACTGATACAAAAATATTAAGTAATACTTGGGTGTGGAAGCAATTGTGAGGATGGTACTGACTGAGGTTTACTGCTTCCCATTGCTCTATGCTGAACGGAAGCCAGTTTGAAGTTCCAGCCTCAACTCAGTTCTGCTATGGGCACTAGCTGGAGAGAATTACAAGTTAAAATTTACAAGCAATCCTTTCTTGTGATGTTTCCTAAGCCTTTCACCTTTATCCAATGAATTCCTCAGGTCTGGTGGGGAATCTTGTAGACAGAAGACTAATGAAGCTGGGAATGACAATGAGTTTAGATCCCCAGTCCTAGTCAACTGTCTCTTACAAACCAGGTGTGGCTGATGGAGATACTACAGTGGGGAAATGTCCGGAGGGAAAAGTAATAGACGTGCATTCCCTAATCTCAGCCCCAGATCCAACTCTGTAGTCTGAAATTTGGGGGTGCTTCAATATTTCCAAACATTGTATTTAGGAGGGGCTTGGAGGAGGACAATGTGGTTGGGTTTCCGAAAGTGCGTTTGTTCATGTTTTTTTTTTTTTGACCGGTAAGGGGATCGCAACCCTCGCACGCACGGGGTGGTGTGCACCACGCTCAGCCAGAGAGCTCACCCGCCATCCCCATATAGGATCCGAACCCGCGGCCTCGGCGCTCCCAGGGCCGCACCCTCCCGAGCGAGAAACGGCGCCAGCCCCGTTTGTTCATGATTTTACACGAGCTGTGAACACCTCAAGTGTCCGAATAAGCGGCGGGGGGCGGGGGTAACATGACCAAGATTACTCCCAGAGTCCTGAAAACACAGAACCGGCTGAACCACCTTGGCCCCGCGAACCCCAGCCCCCCGTCCCACCGCGCTCCTTCACGGCGAGTTTGTCAGTACCCCAAACTGTCCCCGCATGATGTCACTCTCCCGGTCACGTGCTCAGGCCTGCGGGAGCGCCACATCACCAGCCGCACCCCTCCACCCCCACCCTGCTCACGTGACCCGGCCTAGTTTCTCCAGGCCCGGCCCGACACCTCGCTCGGCAAGCCCCGCCCCACACTGCGCGCTACGCCTGTGAACCTCCGCCCCTTATCCGCCCCGGCTCCAGCAACGCCCGCGGCCCCACGTGCTTCTTCCTGCCCAATGAGAGTCGGCGCCCGGGAGCGAAAGGGCGGGGAGGAAAGGGACGACTTCGTTCCTTTGCGAGAAGGGGGCGGGGCCTGAGACGTCGGACAGAACGAGGGGACGCCACGGAGGCAGGCCGGAGCCGCTGCCGTCGCCATGACCCGTGAGCGCCAAGACCCCCTTCCTCTTGCCCTTTTCTTTCCGTCCACCCTCAACACGACCGCCAAATCACCGGCCTTGCTCTCCTCTTAGCTTCCCCAGCGAGGCCTTTCTCTGGGAGCGCTTTTTACTGCCCTCATGCTCAGAGCCCGGAAATCGAGCCCGTTCCCCACCGCCACCTCACGAGGCCCTTCCCCATCTTCCGTGGTGTGAGGAGAAGCCCTGTGCCCCTGTAATAAGCCTAGAGCGCCCTACTCCAGAATTTGGCCCGGCCCCCACAGAGACCCAAACCGTCCACACACACCCTGCCACCTGTCTGGGCCCCCACGCCGCCCTGGAACCCAAAACACGCTTTCAGCGGGCTCATAGGGTCCGCCCTCTCACCCTGCAATTTGACCTGCCCCGTGGCAGCTTCGCCACTCCTCCCCTCCTTCCTCCCAGCAGCCTAGGCCCCGCCATGGGCCGGTGTCGGGGCCCGGGGAATAAACTGTTGGACCCTACTGGTGTCCAGGATGGGGGAGAAGGGTCGTCGGTGTGTGGCCAGAGCGGTCCCCGCGTCTCACCTTTTGTCTTGTTTCCTTAGGCGGTAACCAGCGTGAGCTCGCCCGCCAGAAGAATATGAAAAAGCAGAGCGACTCGGTTAAGGGAAAGCGCCGAGATGACGGGCTTTCTGCTGCCGCCCGCAAGCAGAGGTAGTCCCAGGGAGGGTAGGGGACGGGGGCAGACCTGGGTTAGACCAAGGGTTGTACCAGGAAAGATAGTTACCTCAGGGCTTGATTCTGGATTAGTGAGGGGCAGAGTGCATTGCTTTCTCTAGGGTTTTATTTCCTCCCCGCCTTCCAAATCGTTAGCTCACAGCCTCACAGGAAGGGACTGGGCTGGGAGCCTGCCCTCGGTCTGATTTCTGAGAGCCCCTGGGTCTGACCTTATGGGCAAGGGCAGGGAGCTTCATATTTCAAACACAGTTGTGGTTATGACAGCCTGGTACTTTTGGCCCTGGTTGCTGTTTCTCCTCCCTTCTCCCCACCTTCTCCCTGGTGTTGCTGGGTGTGGTACTCGGCACAGAATAGAGAGCCTTGGGCCTGTGTGGCCAGACTTCTGACCCATTGGGCAACAGCCAGATGGAGACTGCTTGCCTTTTGAGCCTCAGCTCTCTTCCTCTTGTTCTCCTAGGGTGGTAATACAACAGCCACACGCTGAACTTTGTCCCATCCACTTCCATCTGATCCTTTGTACCCTTCATCCCCTTGCATCTTGTCCTTTTTGCCCTCTGGTACCTCCCAGTGCCCCATCATCTCTACCCCCAGGGACTCGGAGATCATGCAGCAGAAGCAGAAAAAGGCAAACGAGAAGAAGGAGGAACCCAAGTAGCTTTGTGGATTCGTGTCCAATCCTCTTGCCCTTCGCCTGTGTGCCTGGAGCCAGTCCCACCACGCCCGCGTTTCCTCCTGTAGTGCTCACAGGTCCCAGCACCGATGGCATTCCCTTTGCCCTGAGTCTGCAGCGGGTTCCTTTTGTGCTTCCTTCCCTTCAGGTAGCCTCTCTCCCCCTGGGCCACTCCTGGGGGTGAGGGGGTTACCCCTTCCCAGTGTTTTTTTATTCCTGTGGGGCTCACCCCAAAGTATTAAAAGTAGCTTTGTAATTCCTTGAGCGCCTGGTTTGACTGGGGACTTGGGGGGATGGGGATGGAGGAATGATTGCCCATTCCCACCAAAAGGGGAGAGCTCTTTGACTCCTAAAAGATTGTGGATATGTAGACTTAATAAGTGAAACATCCCAGAAAAAGCCTTTATTATACTATGACAACCAGACCAGTACTCAGGATATGTGATAGAGGAATCCTCTAAGAACCGTAAATACTTCTTTTCTGTGATTTTTGATCCCATCCGAAGGATGCAGTTGAGGACCTAGAAGGGAAGGCTCCAAGACCTAAGTTTATGCCGCTCTTCCTCATTCTTCCTCATTTTGTTTGTCTGCTTGAAAGTTGGCCAAAAAAATCTCACCGAATTTCCGTGGTCAGCTGCTCTCAAGTGTTCACATTCTCTTCTATTCTGTCATTCTTCATGGAATGAGGATAGCTTTTGTCTTCCCACTTCCCTTGACCTCACGATCAGGATTAAAACCTACAGTAGCCTCTGTGCTCCTTTCTTCCTATGCCCTGGATTATTCTGTGGTTCTGGGCTTCTTATATCCCTGTGCCCAGGGCCAAATTGCTTGTTTTCCTTTTTATCTCTAAGGGCACAGTCAAGTCTTCAGTCCCTGTTGGTCTTTTCCTGCCCCCACCTCCAGCTCAAGAGCCAGAAAAGGGCTGGTGCCACGCTGTCTGCTGGGATCAGCAGTGGTTCAGAGCTGCTGATTTGGGTTAGGCTCTTGAGCTGGGATGAAGATGTAACGGGAGCTCCAGTAAGTCAGATACTCTGCCCACGGCATTAGGGTGTTTATGACCACTTTTAATTCAGACATGGTACTGACCTCACCTTAAAGGGAGATAACTCTCCACTGTGTGCTTGAGGTATTGAGCTGGGATGGATAGCTCCCCTGAGCCAAAACTAGGGGTACAACCTCAAGGGGAACAAACCCCAGTTTGTTAAAAAGAACTAGACTGGAGGCTGTTTGTTACCTGGCGATACTGATGCGATGGCATTGTTGCCTGAAGCTAAGAGTGGGCTGGGAGTCCTGGGTGGGGGACCAGAGAGGTGCCAGTAACAGTCCTAGATAGAGGAGTACACAAGCCCAGCATGAAGCAACCTTGACCCAGAAGGTAGCCCAGCTACCCTTGGTGAAGGTCTTTTCCAGTTCTGCTCCCTCGTAGCTGTGGAACCAAAGGCTCTGGTTAGAGAAAATGCAGGGCCTTAGCTGTTAGACCTGTCCTACCCCCCACAAAAGACTATGGCAGACCCACATGTGTCTCCTGAGGACCCTTTGGAATGGCCTTGAATTGCTCTTTCCCTAAAGTAGGTTTTCAGGAGAGTAGCTTAGGCCCACCTCCTTCCTACCTGAACCAGTTGGTGAGGGTAACCATGAAGTATAGTGATGCAAGGAAGAAGACAAAGTGGAAGGCAGAATAGCTGTAGGAAAGATGCTGGGCTTGACCTGGAAGAGCTGGAGGGGTCTCTCGGTCAGCTGGCCTGGCAGCCCCACCCCTTTGCCCTGGAGAGAGGGAAGGGCTGCTAGGAGCAGTACTGCTGAAACACCTCTTACCTCCTTCCCTGGCTACTTTCCTGAATGCTCTTCAGGGTTCTTTGGCATTCCACACAGATCTACCATTTCTTATTGCTCCTCACTTGACACTCACCTACCTCTGGCTCCACTGATTCTGGGCAGCAGAAACAGAGTGAAGGCTTCTGCAAAACAGAATGCAGCATGTTTTAGAATGGCTTTAAAAGTGTGAGGGTGTTAAACAAGGAAACTCCCCTTTAAAACAATTGGTCTAGTGTAAAAAGTGGAGGCACACCCGGGTTCAAATTCTAGCTCCAGTATATAAGTGGCTATGCGAATTTTGGTAAGATGTTTAATCTTTTGTGCCTCAATTTCTCCATTTGTAAAATGGAGCAAATACCTACCTCACAGGGTTGTTGTGAGGATTAAATTAAATGAGATTATGTATGTAAAGTATCTAGCACAGTGCCTAGCATATTGTGGGTACTCAATAAAAGGTAATAGCTAGAATCTGAGCATTCTGGGTAGAGGTTGGTAGGGGGAGTGGGTGGGTGGGTGTGTGTTGTGGGGGAGGGGTGTTGGGGATATTGACCTCTCAATCCTCACCTGGAACTCATAGCTGTAAACCTTGACGATCCACAAGGGCCCAAATACCTTGGCCAAGTAGGAGGCCTCATTGCTGAGAGAGAAGAGAGAGTTCTCTAGCTGGTCTAGTCAAAAGCAGGAGGGACTGTCTGGGGGCATTTATTGGCAGCTGGTACATAACTGGTAACCGTCAGGAGGGTACTGTGTTCCCTGATCCCCTTTCCACCAAAGACTTAGAAATCTATTCATGTGAGGGCCCTAAAATCTTTGCAAATATTTTAAATTCTCAAGTAATTCCCCCCTGCCCTATTCATCTCATACAGATCATCTGTTAAAGTGCTATTCTTAGAAAGTGTCCCTGTTCACTGGGAGCTTTTCTCATTCTAGTCTTGCTCTAAAGTTTAGATAAACTGTGGTTCCAGACATTCTTCTGACCATCCCTCCCTGTCCTGGGCATCCTCCCTCCTGTAATACCGCACCCCTAAACACCCTTACGCACCAAGCAAAAAGCACACAAGCATACATGATGCCAGCACTCAACACTGCTAGCGAAGTATCTGATGTTTGGGGTTCCATTTCACTCAGGCAAGGCAGGCACAGGGTGTGATTCTGTCCTTGAAGGATTACTGGGAAAGGGGCAACAGAAGAGGATGTTAAGAACAAAGAACTGGGGATTTGTTGGGAGCAAAAAAGGGTCTTGGCACGGAGAGCCCATGTCCTGTCCCTTACCTCTCTCTGGAGGACGGCTGGACAGCGCAGAGAAGGTCAGATACATGATGTAGCAGCTGATGATAGAGGCTTGTAGAGGGCCAGAGCGGGGTTGCTCTGGGAAGAATGGGTATCACTGCTTTAGTCTACAGGGTGGTAATTTCCTCCACTCCTACCCTCACTTGCACTTCTGTCTCCCCATCCCTTGGGGGAAGCAGAGATTCTTTTATCAGATAATTGGGATTAGGGAGGCTAATGAAATATGCTATACTGAAGGCCCCCAAGTCTGGAATGCTGTAGGGCATGTACCCACTGGGGTGGATGCAAGTAGTGATAGAGAGGAAGGAGAGGAGGCCACAGAAGCAAAGGTGCAGACTGAGGAGCATCTTGTTGAGCAGGCAGCCAGCTGGGTGTGTGTAGTGACGGAACAGAAGTACAGCTCCCACACCTGCCGTGCTGTAGAATCCGAGGGTGGCCAGCAGCACAGCTAAGAACCAGCTGCAGTCTTGGGCTGCACCTGTCTGCCTAAAAGTGGGAGGTGGACAAAGGCTTAGAGCTCCAAATCTTTTCTTTTTACCCCTTATTGACTGTTCCCCTTCTCCCAGAAGACTGGTGTGACTACCCATCCCACTTGGCCCAGAGTCATCACATTCCTGAGGTTTTTGATACTGCTCAGAGGGAGACTATGGGACCAATGACCTGCCATGCCCTTTGCCCAGTCCTTCTGCATCTAGTAATGCTAGACAGCATTGCCAGGAAGAGCCTTTAGGGTTACGTGCCCCTTACCAGTTCTTGTTCCAGGAATGGGCAAAGGCTGTGATAAGCACCAACTGCAGTAGGATGAATGTGAAGCCTCCACAGATGCCAATGTAATGCCAGGCTGTAAGATGGCCAATAGTGGGAAAATGTAGCTGGTCATATCATTATTCCTCTTCCTACCCACTCTTTATCTTAGAAAACCTTTTAGCCTACTCCTGCTGATCAGGGTGTAAGATGGAGAATACCTGGGAAGAGATGCTCATCAGGGATGCGGAAGGCAACAGCACAGAGACCTAACAGGAACAGCACCTTGAGGAGCCAGAAGCTGGTTAGAAGGGAGAGAGAAAACCAGACTGAGGAGGAAAGGCAAAGGGGAGTGAAGAGCGCCTATAAGGGAAGGCAAATGAGGAAGCAAAAATACAGGAAAGGGATGAGAGAAGACAACTAAGAATAGGAAAGGACGAAGTAAGAGGGGGCTGAGACTAGGCCCTCTGCACCTGAATCAAATTCTAACTCAAAGATACCTAAATAACACCTGGACAATGTTTTACAGTTTACACAGGGTTTACATATAATAATCCCACTGTTACCTCCATTTTTAAAGACTTGAAGTTCAAATAGGATGAGTGTCTGGCTCATGGTCACACATGGGAAGCAGGGACTTAAACCTGTTTTCTATCTTTTTTACAGTGCTATTACTTCATCCTGGCATTTCCTTTACCCAGCTTGTGTCTCCTCTGTCCCCTCCCCACCCAAAGAGCACACACAAACCTATTATGAAGCTGTGCCCGTGGGCTGGTAGGGGAGTGGAGGTGAACCAGCAGCACAGCCTGCAGCAGGTGGAAAGTGGCGGTTACTGCACATACTCGGTACACAGCCCCAGAGCCACTGAGCACTGGACAGTCAGACTGGCCAAACAGGTGGACACACAACCCCGAGGGCATCTGGATCTGGGGGGAGTGTATGTGAGAAATGGCAGGGCAAGTCATAACGCACGGAGAGGCACCTAATTCTCAGTGGTATGTCCATGCATTTGTTCCTTGCCTCCAATCCAAACCTCTTGTCAATCTCAAGATTTCTCCCATTATCCTTTCCCACCTTGCAACTTGATCCCTTCCCACTTACCTCATGTGCCTTGCCCCAGACCCTTTCCACTACTGTCCTTGACAGCAGGAGGCAGCAGACTGCTGAGGCCCCCACATGGAGGAAGATGTAGAACAGGCGGCTATAAGTAGACTCTGTGAGAGAGGGCCACCTAGAGTGGCAGCAGCTGGTACAAGGAACAGGCTCACAGCAAGACACCTGAGGATAAAGCACATAGAGGGCAGCAAGGTGGAGATTTGCTGAGGAAAGGCATATATTAATGTATGAGTGAGGTTAACCCCTCAGGCTGAATTGCAAAATTTCCCCTTTTCCTTTTACTCAAGAATTTCCAGAATGTCCAGGCTATTTAGGATTACTTTTGACACAACTAGTAGGGCTTTCATCACAAAGTTTACATATAGGCTTGAGCTATTGACCTTTACCTAGACCTATAAATCTGGGAACATGGGAGGAGAGGTTTACTGATTATTGAGACAAAGAACCAGAAGGACATCAGAGGAGAAAAGAAAAGGCCTATCTTTATTTGGCTTCTGCAGGTTTTCCTCCCCAGCTTCAGCCACCCAACCCTTCTAATTTTTCAGATAACCCTTGTTTAATGGAGCTTTCAAGGCTATCTGCCCAAGCACCCTCTCACCTGATAGAAGGGGGTTTTCACTATGACATTGCTGACTTCACTGCCCTGCTGTGCCAAGCCCAGGGAGGTGCTGGGGCCTGCGACCACCTTTGCACCCACCATCTTTGTCAGAGGGATTAGGACTAGGTCCACCAGATGGAAGGTAGATGAGAAAATAGCTTCTTTTGTCCTCAGCCTATTGGACTGCCGCTGTGCTGGGGCTCATCACCCAGTCTAAGGCAGAATGGGAAGGAGCTCTCATCTCCAGGATGTGGTAAATGCAAATGCCGCCGTGAAGATGCTTTCTCCTCAGTGCCTCACGCCTTGGGCCCTTCACGCTGTTCTGTCCACATTAGGGAGTAGTTTCCACGTCTGTCCTCCCGTGGATTAGCATGCTTAATTGGTCTAGGATTGGACGTCATCCATCTGGATTGAACAGAATTCCTTGGGGAGGCGGGGTGGGGTGGTGGGGTTTGTTACTAGGTGAAGAGGGGGGGAAGGATGTCAGTTGGGGTGTTCAGGAGTGGTTAGGCCTGGCAGAAGGCTTTGCAGAAAACACTTCAAAGCCAAAGGAAGTCTGAGGAACGCCTTCTTCACTAAAGCTTCTAGAACCAGAGTATAAAGAAGGTGTGGCCCAGAGACAGCCCCGCCTCCTCTCCGGGCGGAAGGCTCGGGTCAGTTACCGGAAGTCGTGGTGGGGCACGTCTATGCGGCGGCGCGGTGTAGTCGATATGGCGACTGAGGGGGATGTGGAGCTGGAGTTGGAGACTGAGACCAGCGGACCGGAGCGGCCTCCCGAGAAGCCACGGAAGCATGACAGTGGTGCGGCGGACCTGGAGCGGGTCACTGACTATGCGGAGGAGAAGGAGATCCAGAGTTCCAACCTAGAGACGGTGAGGTTGGCCGGAGCGTGTCTGGGAGGGCTGAGAGCAGAGGGGGCTCTGAGGCTGTAGGTGGAAACCAGCGCGCTAGGACGGGGTCCTGATCCCGATGGCGGGAGGAGGCATTAGGATAGGGGGTGGAGCCGAAGAAAACAGCGGCCACCGGAGCCCGCCGCTTGTTAAGAGGAGTTTGGTGGAGTATTTGAGCAGACCTCAGGTGCATAGAATTAAACATTGCCTTTGGTTCCTGATAATACTCGTCATCGTCAACGTGAGCTGCTTGTTACTGGCTTTTTAGATTATTGGGAATTGTGGGTAGCTAAGCAGTAACTAGACTTGTCTGTTCCCTAGGCCATGTCCGTCATTGGAGACAGACGGTCCCGGGAACAGAAAGCTAAACAGGAGCGGTAAGTCTTAAGCGCAGCAAGCAGCCAGCCTTACCAACCCCTCCCCGCACCCCAACAAAAATAAAAACCATTAAGTAGACTTTGTACTGTTCTTCTAGGGTTTGCAACTTTACTCTTTTGTTAGTGGAAGAAAGGGCTCCTGGCAACACTTGCTGCCAGCTGTCTGCTGTAAAGACTGCAGGAGAAAGGGGATATTAGGGGGATTCATTTTGTATTTTCACTCAGCGGTTTATCAAGATTCATTTATTTGCCACACAGGAGGGAATGATCCTTCCTGGGAATTTATGGTAAAGGTGGAGAATGAAGACTAATGTATATAAATATTTGCAGGGAGAAGGAACTGGCAAAAGTCACCATCAAGAAGGAAGATCTGGAGCTGATAGTGAGTAGCAGTACCTAGTGTATGGACAGGGGAGGTTGTTCTGCTTAATTTGGGTTCTTTCCTGAAACAAATAGTCAGCATGTTTGGTGGCACCTTAATGCCTGGGAGGAGACCTAGGGTAACGTGATTGATCTTTTTTTTTTTGCAGATGACAGAGATGGAAATCTCCCTGATAGTGAGTAGCAGTACCTAGTGTATGGACAGGGGAGGTTGTTCTGCTTAATTTGGGTTGTTTCCTGAAACAAATAGTCAGCATGTTTGGTGGCACCTTAATGCCTGGGAGGAGACCTAGGGTAACGTGATTGATCTTTTTTTTTGCAGATGACAGAGATGGAAATCTCCCGAGCAGCAGCAGAGCGGAGCTTGCGGGAACACATGGGCAATGTGGTAGAGGCTCTTATTGCCCTAACCAACTGATATGTGCTTTTTCAGACATACCTGCTGGATTAATTTATTGCAATAAAGATTTTTGTCTTTTTTTGCAGTTTTATCACTTTGGACCAAGTGGAATGTATATAGCCTATTTTGTTGTGAGGAATTTATATGTTGGAGTATAACTGAATTTAAGTGACCCTCTCATGACTCTTTATGGACCTATGTGAAGAATCAGAGTACCTCATGTTCAGATGCCAGGTGGCAGGCCAGTCTCCTTCATCTGACTAGCTCTCAGCAGTAATTCAAGACATGATATACTCGTAGTCTCAGCAAAGTTACTGTACACAATGGCATGAATAGAAGGCCAGCACATGCCTAGGAGCCACCTATATATAGATTTAAGTTACCAATCCAGTTCCTAAGCCACTGTGAATTAGAATTTAGGTACCTGAGGTGGGAACTTGGTAAGAATAGAAGATGGCAATGGTTATTTTTAAACTTTTTTTTTTTAATATAAAGATGACCGGTAAGGGGATCTCAACCCTTGACTTGGTGTTGTCAGCACCACGCTCAGCCAGTGAACCAACCGGCCATCCCTATATAAGATCCGAACCCGTGGCCTTGGTGTTATCAGTACCGCACTCTACCGAGTGAGCCATGGGCCGGCCCGTTATTTTTAAACTTAAGGGCTGGTCGGTTAGCTCAGTTGGTTAGAGTATGGTGCTGATTAACACCAAGATCCAGGGTTTGATCCCTGTACTGACCAGCCACTGAAAACAAAATTTAAGTAGGGGAAGGGAGGCCTTATGGCAGCTATACATGCTCTTCCACAAGAAATTCAAGGCCTTATTCTCATTTTGGCTCTAGGATAATTGTTAGATTGTATTCCATACAACAGTGACTTGTAGTTTTTCTTATTACCTCATAATTATTTGCCCTTGTATTTTTTTTTTGGTGGCTGGCTGGTATAGGGATCTGAACTCTTGACCTTAGTGTTACCAACACCACGCTTTCACCAACAGAGCTAACCAGCCAGCCCCTGTATTCGTATTTTTATGTTAGAACATTATATGGTTTATTAGTGATGCTTTCGGTAGGACATTTAAAAGATGTAAAAAGACCTTGGTCTTCCCAGTTTTTTTTTTTAAAGATGACCAGTAAGGAAATCTTAACCCTTGACTTGGTGTTGTCAGCACCACACTCTCTCAAGTGAGCTAACGGCCATCCCAATATAGGGATCCGACCCCATGGCCTTGGTGTTATTAGCACCACACTCTCCCAAGTGAGCCATGGGCTGGCCCCGGTCTTCCCCGTTCTTTAATGTAATTGAGAAAATTGTCTCTCCCACTGGTTAAATTTCACTCCTTATAACCCCTAGTACTCCTGGTGCTCTGCCATATGCATGGCTATATAGTAAATATTAAATGGGAAAATGAATTGACTATAGTATGATGCCACTGCATTATACTGGGAGAGCACTGATATATGAATTGGGCAAGAAGATATTGAAGGTACTTGGATTCATTAAGACAGATACCCTGTCCCATTTCATGGGTTACTCTTTGTTCTATGTTCAGCTACAGTTTAGAGAGCAAGGACAACCAAACACATCTATTTGCTCATGTAATAAAAATCTGGGTGCTACTTAAAGCCTGTCTAGGGGCTGGCCTGTGGCTCACTTGGGAGAGTGCTGTGCTGTTAACACCCAGGCCATGGGTCCAGATCCTAGCCAGTTAGCTCACTGGCTGAGCGTGGTGCAGACAACACCAAGTCAAGGGTTAAGATCTCTTTACCGGTCATCTTTATATAAAAAAAAAAACCCCTGTCTAAAATCTGAGTTTGTTTGAGATCAAAAGGATGACCAAAATGTGAAACACTCTCTGCCTG